CTAGAGTTGAGCGCGGGGGGGCGGGGGGAGTCAAAAGGGGCGTGACCCTCGAAAGAGCCCGTGGCGTAGCCTAAAGGGAACGTGGGGGAGACGGTGGTTTTCAGTAACGGAGCAGACCTGCCCCCTCCCAAGAAAAGGGCGCAAAACATCAAAAAGGTAAATTTTGGAAAGTCAGGCTCTCTGGCAAATGAGAAATTCCAATGGGAGCTACCCCATTCCCAAAGAGTACCTATTTCTCTAACCTCCAAGGAAAGCACAACTGAGTTTGCTGGCAGTGCCACTTGCTGGCTGTGACCATGAATCATCTTAGTATTTCTTAGCCTCAGTTTCCTCACCTATCAAGTGGGGTTGAGAGGAATATCTACTTCACAGTGTTGTGGGGAGTTTCTCAAGTAATGGGCGTGAACATGTTTTAAACTGTAAAGGACTGTTTCATTATGAGATGTTATCATTCTTCTCTTTTTTTCTTTCCAGAGACCCCCCCCCCAGCCGCCCTCCTTCCCTTGTTCCTGTGGCTGGGGGGGTACCCTCCCTCCACACCATGGAGCCATCTCCTTTGTCTCCAAGTGGGGCAGCACTCCCCCTGCCTCTGTCTCTGGCCCCACCCCCACTGCCCCTGCCTGCAGCTGCAGTGGTACATGTGTCCTTCCCGGAGGTAACCAGTGCCCTTCTGGAGTCCCTCAATCAGCAGCGGCTACAGGGCCAGCTCTGCGATGTGTCCATCCGAGTGCAGGGCCGGGAGTTCAGGGCTCATCGTGCTGTCCTGGCTGCCTCCTCTCCTTACTTTCACGACCAGGTCCTACTCAAGGGCATGACTTCCATCTCACTGCCCAGTGTTATGGACCCAGGTGCCTTCGAGACTGTTCTCGCTTCAGCTTACACTGGTCGCCTCAGTATGGCTGCTGCTGACATTGTCAACTTCCTCACAGTGGGTTCTGTACTCCAAATGTGGCACATTGTGGATAAATGCACTGAACTGCTTCGAGAAGGCCGGACCTCGGCCACCACCATCACTACTGCTGTAGCCACCTCCGTCACTGTCCCTGGTGCTGGAGTCCCATCAGGGAGTGGGGGCAGTGTAGCCTCGGCCACCATGGGCTCTGTGCGCTCCCATGCCTCCAGTCGGGCCAGTGAGAATCAGTCCCCTAGCAGCAGCAACTACTTCAGCCCCCGAGAGTCCACTGACTTCTCATCTTCCTCCCAAGAGGCATTTGCAGCTCCTGCAGTGGGCAGCGGGGAGCACCGTGGAGGTGGCCCTGTATTCCCAGCCCCTGTGGTTGGCAGTGGGGGTGCTACCTCTGGGAAGCTGCTCCTGGAGGCAGATGAGCTGTGTGATGACGGTGGAGATGGGAGGGGTGCGGTGGTTTCTGGGGCTGGGCTCCGAAGGCCTACCTATGCACCTCCCAGTGCCATGCCACAGAAACACTGGATATATGTAAAGCGGGGTGGAAACTGCCCAACAGCAGCGCCCCTTGTTCCCCAAGACCAAGATCTGGAAGAGGATGAGGAGGAGGAAGATCTGGTTTTGACCTGTGAGGATGATGAAGATGAAGAGCTAGGGAGTGGGTCCGGGGTTCCAGCAAGGGGAGGACCCGAGGCTACCCTTAGCATAAGTGATGTCCGGACCCTGACTGAGCCTCCAGGCAAGGGAGAGGAGCAGGTCAATTTCTGTGAGTCCTCCAATGACTTTGGCCCCTATGAGGGTGGGGGTCCTGGAGCAGGGCTTGATGATTCCGGGGGGCCGGCCCCTTCCTCCTATGCCCCCTCCCACCCACCACGGCCCCTGCTTCCTGTGGATGTGCAGGGTAACCAGATCCTAGTCTTCCCATCATCTGCATCCTCCTCCCAGGGTCCAGGCCAGCAGCCAGGGAGCCAAGCTGAACACGGGGCTGTGACTCTAGGGGGCTCATCCACAGGAGGGCTGGGTGTCCCAGGTGGTGCTGGTGGGACCCCTGGAGGGACAGGCAGCGGGGATGGGAATAAGATATTTCTGTGCCACTGCGGGAAGGCCTTCTCCCACAAGAGCATGCGAGACCGTCACGTGAACATGCACCTCAACCTGCGGCCCTTTGACTGCCCCGTGTGCAACAAAAAGTTCAAGATGAAGCACCACCTGACGGAGCACATGAAGACACACACAGGCCTCAAGCCCTATGAGTGTAGCGTCTGTGCCAAGAAGTTCATGTGGCGGGACAGCTTCATGCGCCACCGAGGACATTGTGAGCGCCGGCACCGCCTGGGTGGAGGTGGGACTGCGGCTGTATCTGGACCTGGGGGGCACATAGGGCCAGCCTTGCCACCCCAGAGAGAGTCCCCTGGGGTGGGCGGGGGCAACATCGAGGAGGCTAGTGGGGCCACGCCCCCGTCAGGCCGACGGGTCTGGTCCCCACCCAGCGTTCAGAAAGTGGAGATGGGCTTCAGTGGAGGCGGAGGAGCAAACTAAAGGGGCAGGCTACGGGGAGGGGGGTGGTAGTTTTCAGGTAAGAGGAAATAGGGAGCACGAGCCAGGCGCGCCGTGGCCTCCCAGGTGATCTCCCACTACAGTTACTGTCTTCCTTATCTCTATGGACTTGTATATATTATGGAGGGGGAACCATATGGCGCCACCACCCCCCCAATCCACTCGGTCCTCCCCCGAAGCATCCCGAAACTAAGCCCTTCCTTTCGCTCTGGGTACACTGAAGCCCCAGTTCCATAATATGGCGCATATGGGGGGGG